CACACACACACACCCCTCAGGTCCTGTGGTTGTGCAGCAATGCAGCAGCATCTTGTAGTTCTGATTCATTGCAGGCCTTACTTCATACTGGAGCATCACACTTCTAATTCTTCCACTTTTAATCCCATCAGTTCCAATTTGAACTGCATCCTGTGAATTTTAAGACTCTCTGCAGACCTTCTTCTTATTGATGTGTTTTCAAAGAGCTTCAACAAGCTGTCATATGTGACTCACAACAAAAAGGAGGCTAAAGTGGTGCTTAACCTGAAGTGAATGCACTTGTCTCATGTCTTTTATGTCTCTTTTTGTCAGAGTCCTTTTGTCCACATAGCCGGTTTGTGCGCTGCTCTCCTCAGCAGGTTAACCTCTCGGTTTGGAGGAATCCATGAGGTGAGATTTTATCTTTTTTAAAACGCATGTGTTTTTCTTATATTTACCTTTTGTCCTTCCCTTTTATTTTTGATGACACCAACAAAAAAAAGTTCAGAGCATGGAACTTGGAAATACTCTGTCTGTCTTGTGAGCTAGATAATTAGAAAAAAAAAAAAGTGAATTACTGACTTTTTTTTTGGTGTGTGGCTGCATTTAGACATAAGAAAGGTCACTATTGAAAACTGGGTGGCCATGTCAAAATTTCAAATGGCCACCACAGACATGGCTAATCATCATCACCATCATTTGAAGAAACTATGAGGAAACTATGTTTTTAGTTTTAAATTGTTTTAAACTAAAGTTTTGACTGGGGTGTCTGAAAATTAATGACCACCTCCCGGCTCCTCCATTGCAGCTGGCGGTGGATAAAATAGCTCCCTCTGCCAGCCAGGATCCGTCACTCTAAACTGAACAGGCAAGCAAAACAAAGCAAAACAAAAATTCTATATATACAGTTAACCTCTTTAGCCCCTCTTTCAACTTCTGTTAACTTAAGATCAATCAATGGAATAGAAAACAGAAAATGCTGTTTGAATGTGGGGCTCAAGTAGCTAAGTCCTACTCATTTCGAATAGCTTTCACTAAAAGCATTATGGTTTATTTGAGTTCCCTGTTCAATTCCAGTTTGGTATGATGGCGTATTAGGGCCATTTTTCAGATGGAAAAACAAAAGGAGTAAATCTCCACCCAAAGATTTTCAGATTAATTTCAGAAATTTTCAAGAAAAAAGGAAATTTTCTGAGCTCCAAAAGTTGTGAATTTGCAAGAATTCTTTTTTGAAAAAATAAAAAACTTGAGAGGGAAAAAACTGTGAAATTTCCATGATTAAAGTAACATTTTTTTTAATGTTTGAACTAAACATTTTCTGACTTTGTAATGTCTAACTAGACATTTACAAACCTGGACTAGATTGTTCTGCACCAGGGGCGGTACTAGGGTCGGGGCCACAGGGGCATTGGCCCCTGCTGAAATCTGATTGGCCCCCTGAAGTGCCCCTGTCCTGTCACTCATCTGTCCTTTGTCTGAGAGCAGTGATGGTGGATGCAGTTCCCTGCCCAAACACTAGAGGCGCTAATGAGTCAAACAGTAAAGTCCAATGAGGTACACTGAATTTACTAGAGAGGCAACCCCCATCAAGAGGATGGGGCCAAGTTATGCTAAGCGCGACACCATCTTGAAACAGTCTACTTAAAGGGATGGAGCTATTCAAATTATGTAAACAACAGGTTTTTTTTTAGAGTAGCCCCGATTTACATGTACTCTAAAACACATTTACACACAGATAGTTGAAAGAAAAAGTTTATTTTACCATATTATTTGAACTATAAAAAGTTATTTTAGTAACAACGTAGTCAAAACAAGTAAAAGAAAGTATGCTAAAATTACATTGTCAAAATGCAATACAAAAAGCAAGGCTTAAAGCATCATTTTGAAAATATTGTTTAGAAATACACAAACTAAAAAAATTAAAGAAAAAAGAAAAAATAAATAAATTGTATATGTCTTCTGGACGGGTTCTTCTCTAATGAAACGTTTCGTCTCTCCTCCAAGAGACTTCTTCAGTCTGAGAGTTTCAGGCTACATTCAGGCTTTTAAGCAC